TATATATGCATATACACATATATACAAGAATACAAATGCATATTTGCATACAGATACACACATATATATACAAATATACACACATATATGGACATGTATGTGCATATATATATATAAATATACATATACACAAAAACACACATATGTACATCCATCTACATGTTTGCACATACATACAAAAACATATATATACATACATACACACAAATGTATGCATGCATATGTACATAAATATATATATATACAAAAATACACATATGTACATGTAACTATATGTATACACATACATACACAAACATATATATACATATATATACATAAACATATTACATATATTTACGAATATATATATTTAAAAATATATATGCATATATAGATATACATATATATGTACACATATATAAATATGTATCACATTATGAAATGGACAAAGCCGACAATTATTTTAAGACATTTTTATGCTTATAGATTCTTTTTATAGATACAGAGCATTTACTTAAATATTTGTATCTATAAAAAGAATGTATAAACATAAAAACATCTTAAAATAAATATATATATATATATACATATATATATATATATAAAAATATATATATATATATATATATAAATATATATATATATATATATATATATATATATATATATATATATATATGTATATACAAATATATATATACAGACACATATAAACATATATATGCACACACATGTACATATATCCCTATATATAAATATATATATATACACATATATATATATATATATATATATATATATATATATATATATATATACACATATATATGCAAATAAGTATATATATACATATGTATATAAATATAAACATATATACACATATATATGGACAATAGACATACATATATATATATATATATATATGCACATACATGTATATATATATATATATGCATACATATAGGTATACATATATATATATATATATATATATATATATACACATACATATATACATGTATATATATCTATATATATACATACATATATACATGTATATATATCTATACATACACATCTTTATATACATATATATATATATAATTTATTTGAAAATTGCAGCATAAATTTGTTATAAAATCACTACAAAAATAAGCATTTTGCTTCAACACTTCTGGTTTTCTATTAACATTATGGTTTTGAATATAGAATCTACGACAATTTTGTAGTGATTTTATAACATATTTATGCTATAATTTTCAAATAAATTATATTTGCTTTACTCTGTAATGAGCACTCTTTTACAAATAGTATTTTTTGTTATTGGAATTTATTCCATATACACCAATCCTATACTTGGGTGTATATATATATATATATATATATATATATATATATATACACACACATATATACACATACATATACATACATACACACACACACATATATATATATATAAAAATATATATATCACATATATATATATATATGTACATATATATATCCATATATACATACACATATATGTACATATATGCATACACATATATATACATGTATGTATATATATATAGATATATATATATATAAATATATACATACACATATATGTATATATGTACATATATATATAAATATATACATACACATATATGTATATATGTCCACATATATATATATATATACATACACATATATGGATGTATGTCCACATATATATACATATATACATACACATATATGTATATATGTCCACATATATATACATATATACATACACATATATGTATATATATCCACATATATATACATATATACATACACATATATGTATATAATAATTTTTGTATGTTTTGGATACAAAAAAGTTAGCAGATATGGGTTTCGAGAGACCTGAACAAAGGATGTGCATTCCTTAGAGTAATTGAACTTGGATTGACAGGAAGAAGCTTTCTGTAGCTGAGTAAGGCTTTAATTTTTATGCATAAAAAAAAAATTAAGCATTTCTTTTTAAGAAAATGGTGAATGAAACTGAAATGAAAAATGAAGGTTGAATGACTTAAATTATATATTTCTATTATTTATCTCTAAATGTGAAAACACTGGATCTAATTATGAAAAATAATTTTGCTTTCATAAACAAAGCAAGAACATTATAGTTTTTGATCAAATTTAATGAAAAAACTTGACAGAACAAATAGCAAACAACAGTTACATGTTCTGTTTTGTACCTGTCATAAACTCAATTGAAAATGCAAAGGAAATTATTTTAAATGATAAACAAATACATAGATGTTAGTCATGATGCAAGGGCAGGTATTTGTAATTCAAAGTTTTTTGATAAATATTTTTAAAATGTTTTTGTATTCTTTGTATAGAAAAGAATGCATAAATCAATGTTCTTAAAATATGATGAAATTTATTTTGAGCATGAAAATTAATTAACAAGTACATTTCCATGTACAATTATTCAGGGCAAATTAACCAAAATGTTTAAATAAAAACAAAGTTGTAATTTTATTTAAATTACAGTAAAATTTAATTAATTTGTTTCTGTATTTATTCATTTTTTTTTAATTTTAGTATTTAAGATTTTTTAATTTTTGTTACAACTTGTATTACTCGCATTAAAAACAAACAATAAAATGGATCAAAATAAATATTTATTTCCTAAACATTTTAATGGTGTTTTTATTATGACACTAACAACTATTCATTTTAATGGTGTTCTTATTAGGCTACTAACAACTATAAATATTAAAAAAGTTAAAAAAAACATTTTAATACTATTGTTCTGCCACAAGGCCCAAGTGCCACTCAAGGCAGAAGATTAGAGAATGAAGTTATTGTAAAAATGTAAGAGTAGTAAGAAAGAAGTGCAGTTTATGAGACTACGTAGGATAAATAATGCTTGACTCGAGACAAGATGAGGTTAAGATTGTAGTGATTGGGAAAGCATCCCTGCAGGTGTCTGTTCCACAAAGTAACAGTTCTTGAGAAATAGCTGTCTGGGTGGAACTTCATTATTACCAATGGAATATGAATGGAATCAGAATGGTTCAACCATGTTTATCTGGCATAGTGATCCTATCTGTAAAGGTCTAAACTGATGGAACTATTTTGATCAGGAAATGCTTTAAAATTTGGCAGGGACAAATTAAAGTTGTTTTTCTGGATGGTTGCAGGATGATAGTAAAAAAAGTTAGTCTGAAGCCCTGGTGTACAAACATGTACACACACACACATACACTATAAGCCAAAAAGTTGAGGCCAACCTCAGGATTTCAAAGAATCACCTAGAAATTGAAGATTGCATGCCTTTTCAAAACTAATTTACTTGCTCACTTTGGGCCAGAGAGACTTTATCTTCCTGAAGTGCATGAATTCAGAGTTGGTCTTCTCCTAGACCAGTTGCCATCCAAGGCTACAGAACCCAGTCTGTCCTACTATTTACCCATAGCTGTAGAGAGAAGAAGTGCATTCATACCTTTCCCGAGGCTATTAGCACATAAGTGAATGTAATGGATTTCAATGGAATTTGAACTCAGCTCTCCAATTCCTCCATCTAAATGATATCCATTACTCCACTTCCTACAACTCCCCTTAGCTTCTTATGGAAAATTGAACAACTTATATTCATCCACAATTATGATAGTTTTGCCACTTGCTTATAGTTTGAATTAATTTCATGTCTGCCGCAAATGACCTTGTCTAGGATTTTATTTCAGGCTACATTATGGCATGATCTAAATTTTCTTTTTTAGAGTTAATTTTGAATTTAGCATAAGTCTGACATCTGATTGGTTAATCAGGGTAAACCCACAAGCCCCATTTAATTCTGATCTAGTGTTTTCTCATCTTCTTTTCTCTTTTGAAAAAGAGGGGGCATTTTGCTTTTGAAATTAAAAACAATTCCAGTCTTTTAACATTGCCTGAAATACAAAAGCTATTACACAGCGATTTTTAACATGTTTTTGTTTTAATCTTCTATAATAAATAACATAAAGCTCTACTCTGTATTGAGCCCTTTTTTTAGAATTAAATGCTATGGACAGTGGAATTATACTCCATTTGTTCATATCTTATACCTGGATATATATATAATTTGTCTGAAGAAGTTATTTTAAGGGACGAAATGTCACTTTAGAGTTTTTTCATTTTCTCATTCCATTACCCATTATTAATCTGATATATATATATTAGTTATATAGATATGAACAGACATAGATAAATATACACAAACAGATCGACAGATAGATAAACTTGAATACCATATTGTGTTTGAGTTTCATAGGCTTCTTTTCCTCACTCATCAATGCCCACTTTCTTCCTGGACTCATTGATGACTTCTTTCATTCAAATATCTCATCCTTCTTTCCCTTGCACATCGATGCCTTCTTTCATTCAAATCCTCCATGCTTCTTTCCCATACTCATCAAAGACTTCTTTCGTTCAAGTCATCCATGCTTCATTCTTACAAATCTACTATGCTTCTTTGCCTTCCTCATCAATGCCTACTTCAATTCAAATCACCAATGCTTCTTTCTTTCAAATCTACCATCCTAATTTCCTTTACTTATCAATGCCCTCTTTCTTTCAAATTGCTCAAGCTTCTTTACCTTTCTCAATGATGCCTTTTTTTTTCATTCAAATCACCAATGATTCTATCTGTTAAATCTCCCATGCTTCTTTTCTTTAATCTTCAATGCCTTCTTTCACCCAAATCTCCCATCTTTCTTTCCTTTACTCATTGATGCCTTGTTTTGTTCAAATCTCCCACGCTTCTTTCTTTCAAATCTCTGATGCTTCTATTCCTTAAGCAGCAATGCCTTCTGTTGTTCAAATCCCTCATGCTTCTTTCCCTTACTGATCTATTCCTTCTTCCATTCAAATCACCAATCCTTCTTTCCCTTACTCATTGAAGCCTTCTTTCATTCAAATCTCCCATGATTTTTCACTTACTCATGAATGGTTTCTTTCTTTCAAATCTCCCATACTTTTTCCCTTGATTATTGATGCCTTCTTTATTCAAACCGCACAGCCTTTTTTTTATTTATTCAACCATGCCTTCTTTTGTTGAAATCTCCAATGCTTCTTTCACTCACTCATCAATACCTTCTTTCATTCAAGTCTTTCAATGTTCTTTCCTTTACTCATCTATGCTGTTTTTTGTTCATTTCTCCCATGCGTCTTTCACCCCACTCATCAATGACTTTTTCATTCAATTCTCACGTGCTTCTTCCCATCACTCATCAATGCCTTCTTTTGTTTTAATCTCCAATGCTTCTTTCATTCACACATCAGCACCTTCTATCTTTGAAATCTCTCAGGATTCTTTCCCTTATTCATCAATCCTTTCCTTTGTTCAAATCACCTATGCTTCCTTCCTTTACTCATCGATGCCTTCTTTCATTCAAACCCATCTTGCTTCATTCCCTTACTCAATGATGCCATCTTTTGCTCAAATCTACCATGCTTCTTTCCCTCACTCTTCTATGCCTTCTTTCTTTCAAATCTCCTATGTTTCTTCCCCCTTATCCATCAATGCCTTCTTTCGTTCAAATCTTACTTTCCCTTACTCATCAATGCCTTCTTGCTGTCAAATCACCCATCCATTTTTCCCTTACTCATTGATGCCTTTTTTCATTCTAATCTCCCATGATTCTTTCCCTTACTCATTGATGTCTCTTTTCATTAAAATCTGTCATGCTTCTTTTGGTCCTATCTCTCCTATTTCTTTCTTTTAAATCTCCCATTCTTCTTTCCTATACACATCAATACCATCTTTTGTTCCATTTGCCCACACTTATTTCTTTCAACTCTGCCATGCTTCTTTCTCTTACTCATCAATGCCTTCTTCCTTTCAAATCTCCAATGCTTCTTTCATTGAAATCTCCCATGATTTTTTTCGCTTACTCATTGATGGCTTCTTTTGTTCAAATTTTACCTCACTCATGTATGCCTTCTTTCATTCAAACCTACCTTGCTTCTATCCCATACTCATCAATGCCTTCTCTCTTTCAAATCATCCATGCTTCTTTACCTTACTCATCAATGCCTTCTTACAATAAAATTTCTCCATCTTCTTTCCCTCACTCTTCTGTGCCTTCTTCCCCTCACTTATCTAATTCTTATTTAATTCTGCCATCCTTCTTTCCCCTCACACATTGATGCCTTCTTTTTTCAAGTCACCTATGCTCCTCTCTCTCACTCATTTATGCCTTTTTATTTCCAAATCTCCTATGCTTCATTCCTTCAGTAATTGATGCCTTCTTTCATTTTAATTTCCAATACTTCTATCCCTTACTTATCGATGCCTTCTTTCATTCAAATCTCAATGCTTCTGTGCCCTCTCTCATCAATGCCTTCTTTCCTTCAATTTTCCCACGTTTCTTACCACCACTACTTGATACCTTCTTTTGTTCAAATTTTACATCTTTCTTTCCCTTACTCATCGATGCCTTCTTTCTTTCAAATCTTCCATGCTGCTTTCATTTACTCAATGATACCGTCTTTCTTTCAAATCTCCCATGCTTCTATACATTACTGATAGATGCCTTCTGTTGTTCAAATCACACATGCTTGTTTCATTCAAATCTACTATGCTTCATTCCCTTACTCATTGATGTCTTCTTTCTTTCAAATCTCACATCCTTCTTCCCTTACTCATTGATGCTGTTTTTTGTTCAAATATTTCATGCTTCTTTCATTCAAATCTCTCAGACTAATCTCCTATGCTTTCTTCCCTTCTTTCATTCAAATCACCCATATCTCTTTTACTTATCTATGCCTTCTTTCTTTCAAGTCTCCCATACTTCTTTCCCTTACTCATCGATGCCTTGTCATTCAAATCTCCCATCCTTCTTTCCCTTACTCATCGATGCCTTGTCATTCAAATATCCCAGCCTTCTTTCCCTTACTCATCAATGCCTTGTCAGTCAAATCTCAAATCTCCCATGCTTCTTTCCCTTACTCATCGATGCCTTGTCATTCAAATATCCCAGCCTTTTTTCCTTTACTCATCAATGCCTTGTCAATCAAATCTCAAATCTCCCATGCTTCTTTCCCTTACTCATCGATGCCTTGTCATTCAAATATCCCAGCCTTCTTTCCTTTACTCATCAATGCCTTGTCAGTCAAATCTCAAATCTCCCATGCTTCTTTCTCTTACTCATCGATGCCTTCTTTCATTCAAATAAAAATAGTTTATATTTACCAAAATTCCCGCCAAATTCTCCCAGCGTGAGGTCCTTCAATTGCACTCCAGTTAGGATAACCTTTCCAATCATCCTAAATGTAGGCAACTCAAGTTTGTTATTTTGCTCACCCTGATAAGGAAGCCAAATACTGATTTTTTCTTTTTTTTTTTAAATTGTAAAATGTTCCTTGTAAGTATCTTGAATATTATCCACACTCACAAAATGTGAATAACTCCCTTATTTTTGATAATTTGTTATTCTGTAGGTAAACGGTAGTGTCAGAGCTATGCCACCCGGAACTTCGTTCCTGGTAGGGCCACCCAAGGCGGACAGGTCTGACACACACGCCGGCTAACAAGGGCTCTGATGAAAATACAAGGAGCGTCGGCATCGGTAACCGGCGGCTTCTGGTCGTTCCTGTCTCTGCGTCTGTGGGAATCCCGCGGCAAGCAAGAACGTTATTCGAGTAGGCCTGGGTACCCTACTTCTGTAATTTATCCCAAGAATCTTCTTCTCATAACAGGAAGAAGCCGGCTCAATCCACCCAGGGTGAATGCCGCATCAGTACAGTACAGTAGTACATATTATTTGTGGTGAATTAACAGAAAAAATCTGAATTCTTTTTTCAATTAATCAAAAAACATTTTGGTGATCCGGAGTGCTTAATTTAATATGAAAAAATATTTTGGAAAAAGTTATTTCTGGTCACAGTGCCAATGGTACAACTCCTCCTAAAAAATTAATGACATTTATGTAAAAGAACAAAAGTTGACCACTATATTTGGTTGGAGGGAAAGTTCTTGCGATTTGGAAAATATTAAATTTATTTAGAAACCACAAAAACTTTCTTTAATGGGCTTATATATAAATGGTGAGTTCATTTTCCCCAACATAACCAAATCTATTGATAAAAAAAATGTTATCTTTGTTGCTAACATAAAATGAATTTTATGAATATACATTTATTATTTACAAAAGAATAACTTAAAAATACTACTTCTATGTTCTTATTTTATTTCACATTATTTTATGAACATTTTGAAGACTATAGTTAAAATTGAATGATTTAGAACCAGAAAAAATTATTGGCTTTTTAAAATTAAGATGTCTAGTTCATCAATATGCTATGTTCATGTAATATCTAAAACACTCAAGATATTTAGAGTAATAAAAGTTTTTTTTTTTTAAGTCATGTCCTTTCAGTACATTTTCGATCATGGCAAGTTACTTAAGTTAAAGGGTTACAGCCAACAAAGTGGAAATGTTGAATGATGTATATGATATGAATGGAAGAGAAGGTGGAAAAAACAAATAAAGATTACGAAAGGAAAGAGGAAAAATAATAATTGACCCTTGACTTGAAGAGGTCAAGATAGAAGTGGCATTTACATAGCATCTGTTAAACAAAGGAAAAAGCTGCCTGAGTGGAACTTTTTCTTACATTTGGAACACAGAGGAGATGAGGATGATTCAACACCATGGAAGTGGTATGGCCTTTCCTAAGTGTGCATATTTGATCATGTGTAACTAAAGAATGGAGTACGTTTGAACATTTGCCATAAAAATAACAAAATATTAGTGATAGGCTTACAACATTACATTTGTGGGGGAAAAAAAGCTTCACTGGGAGTTTATTCTTTATTTCTGATCAATGCTGCCAACTCACTGTTGTAGATTGACAGCAGGAGTAAAGCTGCAATAAAAAATAACTAAAAATCAAGAAAAATATTCATCACAATAATGGCTGACAATGCTTCATCAAAGAAGAAATCAAGATGAAAGCCAATACTTGTCACAAATTGATAATAATGGCTAACAAAACATCATCTAATAAAAAATGAAAAATAAATAATAATTAGCCATTTCCTTATGTGGAAATATTTGGCTTTCATTGATCAAGCAGCCAGAGTTGAAATTTATAAAATCTATGTATTAAAACAATGTAATAGGTTTCAGTAACTGTTATCACACTTTCTAGTACTGATGGGGTTTTCCTTCTTAAACTTTTATTCAAAATAGAATGGAAAACCAACATCTTGATTATTTTCTCTTCAAATTAGATGTGCTATCCATTTTAGTTGTTGCCACTGTTGAAAGTTCCCAAGTGAAGTGGCTTCTGTTATTTGGTAAAGTTCTTTGTGACGCTAATACTCAATCACAAATTAATATTAATGGCAGACTGGACTCAATTTGAACAGCTTACAAAACCAACATCAGAATCAACACTGCATGGTGACTGTCAGATTCATATTTCAATGTTATCTTCAGACCAACTGTCTGAAAAAGTGGTCTGAGGATCATATTGAAATGTAAAACTGACAGTCGCTATGCAGTGTTGATTCCTATGTCCACACACTATTTTATATCTATCTATATATATATATCTATATATAGTGTTAAGGTATGTTATATTTATGGGTCTCTTCAAAGATTTTTTCCTCTTTTCTTATTGATAACAATATCTTTCATCCCTGGGGCATCAGATTTGATATGTGCCAAAATCTTATCCTTATTGTGAACAATCGTTGATACTGTTGTCTAACCTATTCCAAAAGATCAAGCAATCAATATAACCTTTTTGCATTTCTCATGGCATTTTATCATAGTAAGCTTATCATTCAGTGTTATAGCATGACGCTTAGCACTAGGAATTTTCTTAGGAGCCATTGGGGCAAAATATAAAGTCACAAATGAATGAGAATGAGAGAGTAAGGAATAAGCAGACATATACCATGCGTATGCCTAAACTAAACTGGATTTCAATTTTGTGGGAATCACAAGTGGCACTGATGATGCTGCCAAATGGTAGATATTGTAACTACCATGGAAAATGCCAATATTGAGCTCTTAAAGACCGCTAAATAAGATGACAACATAGAGTTACAAATGTTTTCATATTTCATTCTCTAGGATTTATGATGATTATATTAACATTTACTGTAAATGTACGTATATTTATACGATTTTATATACTTTTATTCTTATTTATTGTACAGTAACATGGTTTTATGTGCTTTTAATGCTTTTCTAAAAAAAAGCATTTAAAAAATATTACAATTACAATATTCATGGCAGACAGACGTAAAGTCAAATAAAATGACTTAAACTTGATTTTTATTTTTCCATATATTTTTTGACAAACGATGTATAATCAAGAACAACTTAACTCAAGACAATGTAACTCAAGGTATATATATATATATATATATATATATATATATATATATATATATATATATATATATATACTGATATAGAGAGATATATATGTATATAGTTTATGCAATAAAGTCATAGTCATATGTACACCAGACTTTATTGTAGAAAATACAATACTCAGCCAATCTGGTATTAAGAAATTTGTCTCAGTGTGTTATTTTAATGAACTCCTTTGTAAGTTATTTTTTGAGGGTTTAATACATTCAAACACAAACACACACACACACACACACACACATATATATTAATGAAAAAGTACCTACTTACCTTCTTATATAAGTCATGAACATGCTCTGAAAGAAGAAAAAAATAAATTTTCACCCACTTTA